GCTGAAAGATATTAAAGATCAGCTTTTGTATGCATGTCCATTTTAGATGCAAACTGCTGGCAGTGCTTTTGATGTCACTTAGGGTTCTTTCTAGCTTGTGTCTCTTTCACATATGTGTTTGATATTGGTTGGTTTTAGATAATTAACTTAAATAGATCTTATGATTAATGAATTGCATTAATTGCATTAATTGCATGTGTGGTGGCCTGTAATGAGTTATGACAACTACTCTGTATTTTGTTCCTTTATTCTGAAGCTTGGTTTTAATTTAGTGGTAGGGGGTATTTGATTTGTTATTTTAAAGATCTTTGCCTCCACATTTTTGTCTAGGGAAGTTGTAATAGGTATTCTGAAATATAAACCTGATAGAAACTAGTTGTTCCCAAATTGTACATTGTGATATATCAATTAAAGCATTTAGTTATTAGAATTTAATCAGGACCGCCATAAATCAATAATATTAGTTAAAGCACGTGCATAAAGAACCGGTTCTAACATGAGTTAGTATTAAACGAACGAAGTCCATTTTCGATGCAAATTGATGGCGATGCTTATGCTGTCATTTATGATTCTTTCTAGCTCGTATCTCTTTCACATATGTGTTTGCTGTTGGTTGGTTTCAGATAATTAGCTAGAATAGGTCTTATGATTAATGAATTGTGATATATCAATTAAAGCATGCAGTTATTACAATTTAATCAGGACCGCCATAGATCAATAATATTAGTTAAAACACGTGCATAACGTATATAATGAAGCTAAGCTTATGTTTTGTGTTTGGTTTGCATCTACCATGATTGAGACATGTTTTCCATATTTTAAACCAATTCTAACAAAGAAATGTATACAATGGAGCTAAGCTTATGTTCTGTGAAGTGTAACGGTGTCTAATGCTCAGGTGGGGATGCACAACAGACGGCCGTAGTAAGCGATGATCGGAGTGATTCTGACGAGGACTTCTACACCCCGCCACGCCGCCTTGACGATCTGGAGTATGAAGGGTCTCCGCGTGCTGATCATGGATGCGAGGACTGCCTGTTCCCCCTTATTAATACGAGGGGGATGCCCAAGGAGCTCGCCCGGGTAGTCGAATCACTAACACCACGTCAGAGGCGGGGTGTCAGTAGCATTGGCATGGGGAGTCTTCTAGGGTTGCGCATCAAGGAGTTGCCACTACGCCTTGGCTATTGGTTAGTGTCTTGCTTTGACCCCTCGAAGATGGAATTGGATTTGGGCAACGGAAGAATCATCAAAATAACCAAGGAGGATGTTGCAGCTGTGTTGGGGCTCCCAAATGGTATAATCCCGATTACAGAGCGCGATCCCCAGGTTGTAGGGCGCGACCTGCGAGAATGGAGGACTAAGGTAAAGCAACAAAAAGGGAGGGTCACGATCAAGGCTCTGAGCACACTACTTTTAGGGCTCAAAGATGGGGGGGTTTGGTTTAAACGGCATTTTAGTGTCGTTGTTGTAAGCACGCTTATTGCAAGCACGCCCAATGGGTATGCGAACCAGAAGATTGTGCACATGTTTAGCGATGTTACCAAGATCGGTGAACTGGATTGGTGTGGATATCTCTTGCACTCCTTGGTTAGTACCTTTGGTAGGTGGACCGAGAACACCAACCGCAAATTTACGGGACCACTGCTCTTTCTAATTGTAAGGCCTTGTTTTAAAATGCATGCTTGAATGTCCTTATGAATTATCTTGTCCTAATTTGTGGGTATTCTTCTTGGTGCAGCTACTATATGTTGATAGGGTGGTGGTGGGTGCGCGGGATGTCCCGAGGTCAATCCCAGTGTTGGACGGGTGGACCACAGAGTTGATTAAAGCACGGGAGTGTCGAGAGGTTACAACAGGGGGTTTTGGCAACGGTTTGGTGGATGCACATCCCAGTGCATCTGGCCATCCTAATACTACGGAATCACCGATGCCAATGTCACCGGCAGTCCAACCTGAAGAACAACGAAACACGGGGATACAGGCAGTGACCCATGTGGCCGCCTCTGCGAACAACACGGTATGTCAGTTATATCCTCGCCCTCAGTGTCCGTTATCCTCGTAAACATTGACTTTATAGGATGAAAACAACTTTGGTGTAGGGCTTGCACGAGGAGTTTGCAACCATGTCTGGGAACCTCCTTTCAGTTGCTTCATGGGTTGCTGATACGGTACGGCAACACCCCAGTCTAGCTCGTGACCACCCTGATTTCGATCGGGTTGCCGCTGCAGCGAAGTTGTTGCTAGGTTTAATTGAAGGACCTGCAGCTGTAGAGGTACAACAACTACCCGCCCCGACGCCAGATCTCCACGACGACCCTATGTGGCATGACCCAGGATTCTTAAGGGAATTGGACCGACTGGAGGCGGATGGACTGGACGCTATCGGGGGCGTTGATGCTCCTAGTTTTAGCCTTGGGATCACACAGGACTTGGCAACGAAGAGCCTAGAGCGAAACCAGGCTTTACTGTTGGATGTGGCCACACCATCGCTACAGGTTTGTGTGTAAATAACCTCATTTAGCCGCACTGTTATGATAACTTACGTGTATGATGAATATTGGTGCTAGGTTCCTTTTCAGGGGCAGCAGATTGGGGCCGTACAGCAGCCCTCTCCTCAAATTGTAGGTCCAGAGAGGCGGGATGGGGCACATCGCAAAGGTAAGTGGCCAGTCGTCCAGGAAGAATATCCTTTCGGCATCTTTTCTGGCTCCACGTTGGGGTACCCTGCCATTCCTCTACCACCTGTGCACGTCGTCTGGTTGTGGCTGTTCGGCTGCCCACATGGTGACCGGTAAGTGGGGTTTTCGAGTCTAAATAATGTTTTTAGCATGCTATTTGTTTGGTAGGGCAGGCCTTGCGGAGTTCCCCTTGCATGGTGAAACAACTTATAAAGTATAGTAATATGTTTTTTCTATGGTGACGGTGAATTTAAAATTGCTAGAATAGGTGGTGCACTGGTTTGGGCATCTCAGAGTACTGGTGGTGCATTCCCCTTGCATGGTGGTGCATCTGACTGGTGCATTAAGACTCAGTGGTAAAAAAGGGGACCCTATTATAGTGTTTTACATCTGTGGATAGTAGCTGCAGTGAGGGTGGGTTGATGGACCACTATACCTAATTAGAAGACAATTTCTTGCTTTCTCTCTAACGTAATCATTTTTGTTAAATGTTTTAGGAATGCGGTGTTGTTCCAGCATGTCAAGCGCAAAGTCAAATGGGCAGATTTTAGAACTCTAATGGGGAGGACGCATGTTGCAAAGACTGTGGTGGATGCATGGTGCAGCGTCCTCAATTCCAGGGAAAAAAACAGGGTGGGAGGGGTACCTTCTAGGATCTTTTTCTCAACCGGTGCCACGGTGCGTATCTAAAACCCAACCACATGTTCCCACCATTAATTCTCGGTGCTAAACTTATTTGGCATGCAGATTGGCACTGTAGTGGGCATTTCATCCAGCCAAGATGAGAGGCTTTCGTGGTTCAAAAACCGGCTAGATGCGGAACTGAATACTACAGACCATGTAGGGATAGCGACTATAGATATGGTAAGCATACTTATACTTTGAAATAATTAAAACTGACGCTCTAGACTACGACGTGATACTTAACTAATACACAAATATGGCTGCTGTCCAGTTTATTTTCCCGATATTGCAAGGGGGCCGGTACTACATGATGAGCATCAGTTTCGAGCGTTATAGGTTTGATATTATTGACAGCTCATCTGCAAACAAAACGACCAAAGAGATGTACAACGGTGCACCGCAGGAGTTGGTATGTGTCTGTTGTAACATACATCTGATGATTGTGTCTGCTAATTGTTACATTATATTCACAGACCACATCCCTTTGGTGCAGATTGACTTACTAAGCGTGTACTTGGATAGCAAAGGTCAAATGCTACGTGCATTTCGGCTTGCAAGCATGAAACCTAAAAGGATGCAGATGCCATGGAGAGACACGACGTCCACCCTCGATTCAGCGGTGTTTACGATGCGGCACATGGAGTCATACACCGGTCAAAGTTGCACAAATTGGGATTGTGGGCTGCAGAGAGGGAACACCCAACAACTACTCAATCTACGGAAACGTTACTTGCACAACATCTTGTTTAGTGAGGTCAATGAACACACGGGGAATATTGCCACTCGCATCGGCCAATACGATATTCAAAGGTCGGGTCAACACCAACAATGATAGCTGCTAATGGCTAGGTCGTTTGGTAATAGTACATGTGATTTTATTGCAGAGGTAGTGAAATTTGTTTTGGATAGTATTTAGCTATGGCCCTTTTAATTATTGCGACATATTAGAACTTGTGAATTACAGGCACAAGTGCCAAGTTTTATGAATATTTTCTATTTGTTATATTATACATATCTTCAACATTTTTGTATTCACGGGTTACTGTAGCACTGGTTTCTAATAAAGGTTCATTTCAGAGTAATAGCATTTGTATAGTTGGTTGTTTCGTTGTCTGTGTATTTTTTTTGTTTAGTTTCTCTGCCGATTTTAAAAGATTTACGCCCTTGATGTGCGTAGTTCAAGTTTCTTATTCGTGTGCAATTTCCAGCTACCAAACTTACACAAAAATCAGACTAATCTTGTCTCACCACACAAGGCATAATGTTTCGTTTCCCAAACTGAAAACTTCCCCCTGGCAATCCAGTCCTTCACTAAATAGGTTCAGCCTGGAATTCGTGTGCAAGGATGAGTAACAGTAGCAGCGATTTTAGAAATTTAGATAGACCACAGTGCACCCTAAGTTGGGAGAAATTACCAATGCATTATTCCATGATATTTTATGTAGCTTACTGGTTGGTAGAAATTAACAATTGAATACATCAACCATACAACGGAATATAAGTATATAAAAATTGCTGCCATTCATTTAGAAAGTGCAGGAAAAGCAACATGGAAGACATGCACATAGTAAGTGTAAATTAACGTATGCTATGGAATACAACAAAATAGAACTAAACAAATACAACAAAATAGAACTAAACTGCCCGTTGCTTGGAAGGACAACTACGTGCGTTGTGACGGGCGTATTCACCGCACACCCCACACTTTCGACCGGCTTTGCCGCTATTCTCTATGGCTATCTCCCGGGTGCTCTTAATACGCTTCCCACTCCCTTTGTTCTTAGCTTGTGCCGGGGGTTTAATGGTTATACATGGGGGTGGCTTGACCCCACATAATGCCTCGATCGCGGCTCTGTTGCCCTTTGCTTCGCAAATGATCGTGCCGTCACTCGCGAATTCATCTCTCAACTCTTTCAGTACCTCTACCATCCGTGCCTGACGGACCATGCTCTCACCAACCATCCCAACACATGTTTGTATCTCAGACCACAGTTCTGAGGCACCTGATTTTGGGGGGTCACCATCAGAACGCCACCCTCTGCATGCACCGCAACCTAGGTGCTTGCGCCAACGTTCCACAACGTACTGGGATGGTAATTGCTCTATATGTGCAGACTTGAACACTAGGAACATATGTCTGCAAATTAGACCCAGTCGTTGGAACATCTTGCAGCTGCAAAAAGCAATACACCCGCTCGGTTTGTATTGTACAGTGTGCGTGGTGGTGCAATCTCCTCCGATGTTGTAATAAATGGTTCCCCCATCTTCACGGATGCCCACAACTTCGCAATAAAAGCAGGCAGCTTCAATCTCTTTCTGCAAAGCATAAAAAATAGTTAGTCTGAACAAATCTGCAGCGTGCCGCTCTAACGCCAAGGGAGTTTTAAACTCGGGCAAGGACCCCTCGCACTGTGCATCCAGTTTAGCTTGATTGTGGCGTTGTGTGTCAAGGACGCTCTCGGTCTGCATGTAGAACTCTACCAAACTGGAGTGGAGGCATGTGAACTTCCCATAAACACTGTTCTGTGCTTCGGACCGGGATGTGGTGCGTACCAACCCACTCATTGGTAAATCTAAAAAAAAAGCTGGAATCCAATGATTCCTTTCTGCATACAATTTTTGAAACCACCGGTGATCAGATAAGTTGTATTTCTCCATCAGCAGCTGCCATTGCACTTCGTAGTCACCGGTAGAGGCTGTTTTGTTCCACACAATATCATTCAAACTCTTGCGAAACTCCTCATTGTTTGATAACTCAGGACCGACTTTTTCACTAACCTTCGTCATAATGTGCCACATGCAAAAACGATGCCGGCACCCTGGTAAAACCTGCTCCATAGCAATCTTCATAGCAGGGTCCTGATCGGTGACAGCACATAGAGGGGCCTTTCCCATTGCAAGGTTGAATCTTTCTAACAGCCAACTATACGATTCCACATCCTCTTTACTGAGCAACCCGACGGCAAAAGTGATGCATCGTTTGTGGTTGTCTACTCCAGTAAATGGGACGAACACCAAGTTGTACCTGCATTTAGAAGGCAATGCGAACAAATAAAGATGAAAAGTCCATCAGTATGGGGGTTAACCGTGGATTATTACTCAGTAGGTAATGTAGGATAGGCATTATATGGACAAACTTACTGCAGAAATATTAAACTAAAGTAAAGGAAAAAAAATTAAAAACCCATTGCTATGCTATTGAAATGTAATATGTTGCACACCTGTTCGTGCTGTACGTGGCATCAAACGAAATCACGTCACCGTAACAAGAAAAACTCCGCCTACCAATAGGGTCGGCCCAAAAGAGCCGTGCGATGCGGTTCTCTTCGTCAAGGTGGTAATCGAAAAAGAAACTATCACAGGCTTCACGCTTGGTTTTGAACCTTTCGATAATCATCTCACCATCAGCCACATCGACATACGTTTACAAGTCCCGTTTAAAATTATGAAATTCCACATATGTTGCACCAACGTTCTCAAACGAACCTGCTACTTCCCTGCATAATCTGTACCCTGTAGAAGGGCCCACATTAACTTTAAGACAATCTGCTAAAAATGCCTGTTGGGCTACATTAAGTTTCCGGTTACCCCGCATAAATAATTTAGCACCCTCAGAGCATAAACTATGGTTGTGGTCCTCGACAAATTTAGACACCACAAACTCCCCAGTACTCTTTTTCTTCAACCCAAGCTTTGCATTGCACCCGACTCTGTTAGAAACCCTTCTCCGTCGTTGCTTATTGCTACTACTAGTACCACGGACGTCTAACGTGGGTTTCCTCCCACCTCCTCCTTTGGCTCCTTGTCTGCTGCATACTAAAGAACGTCGGATAACATCCCCGCTACGATCTCGCTTAACACTGCTGTGCCTGACGTCAAAACCACTAGCTCGCCCGTAGATCTTGTAGAATTCAACCCCTTCGTATACTGATTTAAAACACTGCCCGTGTACAGGTATGATTGTAGTGTCCACGTTGGGTTTCCAGTGTTGGTTGAGGGTGTTGGTTTTCCCCGGCGTGTAGTGCGTCGCATCTCTAGTACCGAAATCACCGTCAATTGACCCTGTAGTAGTCACAACCAACTTTAACTCCAGGATTCTAATAATTCTATAAATATATAAACGGGATAACAATTCAAATTTAGCATTATATTTATTTTACAACTTAACTACAAAAATATCTTAATTTCATATTTCAATTTATTCTGTAGAATATATTCATATTATTATAAAATAGAATTGTAGAGGTACTGCTAGGGGGATGCATTCCAATTCAATGCAATGCGTTAGTAGGATTATTAAACCACACTGTTGCATTAGTCTAATTATTAACAACTCATTGACTGATGAATACCCAGTGTTGCACAGCCACGTTAACACAGTGTGCATCAATGCAGCGATGCATACCTAATGAACAGGATCCCAGGCTTACGCCACAGTGCAGATTGGGGGAATTAGAGATTATGGTCTCTGGGCGTTCAACTGGGGGTATTGGAGCAGGAACAAAAAAATCCCAAAACATTACCACTCAGAATGGTGGCGGGGAGAGGATTCGGGTTTTGTTTGGATGCCAGTGACAGTGCATTCCCATCAATGGCGGGTGGGTAGGGGTAAAAAACGCCGCAATGCGATCGTACAGCAACACATCAAAAGAGAACAAGGGGGTGGGGAGAATACCTGTCACACCGTGCTCAACCGCACCAGCCGTCGGGTGTCCATCACCGTGCGCGTCCATCGTCACCACGTATCCAGCGTTGTCCGGAATCTCAGCGTTGTTGGTATCGGGATTCTCGGCAGTGTTAATATCAGAATTCAAGATCGTTTGTCCGGAACTCTAAGCGGTGTTGGTGGCGGGATTCTATGTGTAAGAGTCGTAGTTGGAGTCGACTTCACTAATAAGTAACCAATATTACATATTTGCATGGCTTGTCATCATGCGTGCAAGTGCAATGTAACGGGGTGGACGCTCATCGTGGGCTTTAGGATGTACATAATCAACGCTCCAGATGAGTGCACAGGTTCACACATAAATAAATGGTTTGCACCAGAAAACCACCATATATATATATATATATATATATATATATATATATATATATATATCCTTAGGTGTTAGATATATCTCAACTAGAGCCCATGTTAAATAATCACTCCCGTCACGAGCAAGTTCAGTAAATTTACGTTTAGCAATAGAAGACATGATCTACAAGATCATCATTTTAATGCATACTCAATTCAATTCAAACTATAACATCCTCTCTACTTGATAAAATTTAAAGAAACTCTTCCATACATAAAAACTAGGAACATTCCATAGCATAAGATGTTAGCAACAAGCCAACAATGCTGAGCATTATTCCATCTGTAACTACCACAATATTTTCTATACAGGGCACATCTCATTCAACTCAATATGTAAGAGGATCAAGATTTAATCTTGAAAAAGCCGCAAATTATGCTATGCATCCGTATGCACCATGCATGGTGCATACGGATGCAAAAACGACGTCGTTTTGGTCAAAAAACGCGCGTCCCACTTAAAAAAGAAATCAAGTTCGATTCCCGGCAATAACGTTTTTATACATCCATAAATTCATAACTATATATCCATAAAGTCATAAATATATATCCACAGTGAATGAATGAAGTAAAAATCCACAATGAATGAACTAAATATCCACAATGATTGAACTAAATATCCACAATGAATGAACTAAATATCCATAAATTCATAACTATATATCCAAAAATTCATAACTATATATCCAGAAATTCATAACTATATATCCATAAATTCATAACTATATATCCATAAATTCATAACTATATATCCATAGTGAATGAATGAAGTAAATATCTACAATGAATGAACTAAATATCCACAATGATTGAACTAAATATCCACAATGAATGAACTAAATATCCATAAATTCATAACTATATATCCAGAAATTCATAACTATATATCCAGAAATTCATAACTATATATCCACAATAACGCTATTGCCGAGAATCGAACCTGAATTTTTTTTTTAAGTGGGACGCGTGTTTTTTGTCAAAACGACGTCGTTTTGCATCGTATGCACCATGCATGGTGCATTCGGTTGCACAGCATAACTATTGTGAAAAAGCATGCTGCAAAAAATATCTCAGTGCTCGTAAACCCGCAAGGTGAGTTTCAGATTCATTTTGCAGCTTCCATCCACAAGGTACGCTAGGTAATTAACCTTGCGGCATTAACCGAAAGGTTAATGTTTAGCCTAATGCAAATTGTTAGGAACATTTTATAATTAGATTTTGATGATACCAAACTTAGGAGTTTAGACCCCTCAATTTGTTTACTATCTTAGACTTAGGTCGAGTCCATCTTCATTCGAATCATTATTTGAATCGTTGACCCGAGTAATAATTTTAAGCACTCGTGGGTTTCAAAAGTATGTCATACGAGATGACAACACAGGCGAATCGAAGACAACGAATCAAGACTTAACCCAAGAGGTTATCTCTCAACGATTCGTAGTCCTAAATGAAGACTTGAAGACTCAAAGACAAAGGCCGAGAGGTTGCAAAAGACCAAATCATGGAGGGTCTACCTCTTATGTTATCAAGACCGAATGATAAAGGAAAATCATTTGAGGCGTTATGGGACAATTGTTAATGTCAACCAATCGTGTTCAAGTGAATAAAAAGGGTTGAGAAGATAGCCAAGCTAACGACTCGATAGGACAAGCCAAAGACATTATATGTGCGTGTATAGTCTGAAACCTTAAAGTGAGCAATTATGCTTAGGACAAAACGAGTCCTAGGTACATATCCCAAAGTCAACTTTCATTAAATGTCATGTCCTTTGTGCAGAACAAAAAGATATGTTCAGCGCATTTTGTGGACCAACGACTGGAAAGTACTAAACTCACGTACACTCGAATTACCTAGCGGTCTCAACCCACTGGTTAATAGGTTATTGAAATTTTGTCTTCCCTCCAACGGGACAATTTTTCACACCTATACATACCCCCTTCCCATTCAGAAAGAGGTGTTGGACTTTGAAAATATTTAAGTGCTAAAGCTCTATTTGAAACATCAAGCTATTTGTGACCAGTTGAGAGAGAAAAATTCGCTAAGTTCATAATCCAGATCTATGAAGGCTTGTGCTGCTTCAAAGTTTAATAGTCGAACCACTATAAAATCTCTCTCTCTCTCTCTCTCTCTCTCTCTCTCTTGCATTCTTCTCACGCTCACAACCAAACATTCGTGCAAATATTCACTAAAAGGGTTAACTTTATTCCGCTGTGCATTTAAACTCTGAACGAGTTGTTAAGTTCTCACACTTGACGATTCATAAATATTTTCCAAAATCTAACAAATCCATTAACCCCCCCCCCCCCCCCCCATCCCCCCCCCCCTTCTAAATTCGTTCCCAATACCTTCGGGACCAACAAGTGGTATCAGAGCTCATACCTTGACCGGTAAACACTCTGCGTATACTGCCTTGTAGATCCAGTTTAAAACATCAAAAACCTATTTTCCTCTTGCACGTAATTTTTGAAAAAAAAAATGAATCATCATCATCATTCCAAAACCTTTATGTTTAACCTATCAAAGTTTGATAATTGGAAGACTCGCATGCAAGCACATCTCTCTGCCATTCATGACGAGATGTGAGACGTCATCATAGACAGACCCACACGAATCATGATGGTAAATGCAAATAGAGCTGTTGAAGGACCAGAGGCAGAGGATCGGATATGATTCCCAAGCCTAAACACTCCTACACCTCGGAGGAATGTACTCGTAGAAACTTGGACAACATAGCACGAGACATTCTATACAAGACTCTGGACGAGTCATTGTTTCCAAGAGTGAGGAAGTGTTAAACCGCCAAGGGTATTTGGGAGACGTTAATGCTCATAGGAGAGGGAGATCAACAAGAAAAGGAGAATAAGTTTATAGTGGCCATGAAGAAGTTCGAGGACTTCCAAATGAGTGTCAATGAGACCATCAGCAAGATGGAAACTCGTTTTATGAAACTTATCAACGAGATCATTGATCTCGGTAAGGAGCCAAGCTAGAAGGAGATCAATCAAAAGATACTCCAAAGACTGCCCAAGGCGTGGGACATGAAGGTGACAACGATGCGAGATCACCGAGACCTCAAGACGGTTCTAACCTCACAGATCTTCAGTGACTTGAAGGCTTACGAGTTTGAGCACGAGCCAAAGTGAGATGAGGAACCCGAGCCGAAGAATGTGGCTCTAGTTACTGACCAACAACCATCCACATCTACAATGTGAAACTCTAACCCCTCAGATTTTTTAACTAACGAGCAGTTTTCTTTGTTTGTTAGGAAATTTAAAAGGTTCATGAGAAAGAATAACTTTCAAGACTCGCCAACCACACAGAGCCCATCAAACCGAAGGCATTCCAAAAGATCAAATGGCTCCAGGAGGCGTGAACCAGATGAGTTGCAAATGATGTGCTATAACTGTAGGAAGCCAGGGCATTACAAAGCTGAATGTCCTCATCCAGTGGTCCGCAAGCACCATGACCAACCTAGAAGCGAAAGCACTCCAAGCAACTCGAGGAATACTCCTGCTGAGACGAGTGGACGAAGTGCCAACCAGTCAGCCAACCACTCTAAGGGAGAAAAAGACGGAAGGCACTAGCTGTAGATGACGTAGCCGAGAAGGCAAATCCCGAGCCATGCACTTCCCGCTCGAGCTCTAACAGCGAGAGCTCAGGAGATGAGAAGAGCCTCATCTTCTTATATAGTCAGGAAGAGTCATGCGAGAACTTACGTCTAATGGCGAAAGACAATGAGATAAACTCTCAATCCTCTTTCTCTACTCAATGTGGTTTTGATTCAAGTAGTAGTGAAGATCCTATGGATTCACTTCTCAAACTGATGAAGGACTTCAAAGTTGTTAAAAACACTCATTCCAAACTAGAGGAAGAGAATGCTCGATTATTGGCTGAACGCAAAAATCTTAAGAGCATCTTGCTAAAAAACAACGAGATGTTAAGCACCATCGGCCAATTCGAGAAACAAGTTCTCTTACTCAAAGAAGAGCGTAAAGCACCAGAAGTGCGAGAGCACAATTTGCGTGAGGTCATTGCAACCTTTACCAATTCATCCAAGATAATGGATAAGATGGTAGGCGAGCAAAGACCGACCGGTGATAGAGCCGAACTTGGCTACAACCCCAGCTCTCAAGCACATATCCTTCTAACAAAACCATCAAACCCTTCAACGAGTGGAGGACTAAAGTCTATATTCGTTCAAGGTCAAACCTTGCTACCCGAGCCCATGAAAGTTGTTAGTAAGGGAAAAGAACCACAACCATCAAGCCAACCTAAAGGAAAGGTTGTAGAAAGAGTTGTGGAACCTTTGAAAGGTAGTTCTTCTCAAGGTAACCCGGGGAATGTTCAATACACAAATCGGTACAAACCGAGTGGTGGTAGGCCGAATGGTCATCCTACGAGTGGTCAACCAAGAAGGAATAACCAATCGAAGGGTAAGCCCAGTAGCAACTCGAGGCAAAACCATTCACATAGACGACTCAATGGTCAGTCTAGGGTAACCAAAGACATTACCCGAATGGTCAGTTCAATAACGGGTGTGCCAAACCTTGGAGACCATCTAGAAGGTCGATGAGAGGTGCCGAGAGGCTTTTCCCTTCTGATGAGGACTGGTTTATGATCCATGAACCAATGCTGAAAGCGCAATTCGATAGGTATCATCGACATAAGAAAACGTTATATTCTATGGTGTATCGCAGCATGCCTAGACCCCAATTTCAAAAACGATATGCATCTAAAACACCTCGAACCTTTCAAAGCATCCCTTATGAATATAGAGTCTTTAATGGATATAAAGGACCGATGATGGGCCTAACGAGCTCTAGGTTCATATGGATGGCAAAGCTCACCGCTAACCCGGAAGGACCCAAAACGGTATGGGTACCTAAAACAAACTAATCTTTGATTTTAGATTAGCAGGACCATATGGTATGTAGACAGTGGTTACTCGAGGCATATGACTGGAGATAAATCAGATCTGAGCAACTATCAAGAAGTCAATGGTCCAAAGGTTATGTCTTGTGGCGAATCAAGTGGACAAACCCGAGGCAATGTAATTCAATCTAATCAGCACGAGTCAGTTCTGCGACAAAGGATACAAGGTCGAATTCTCCAAGGATACATGCAGTGTAATCAGTGAGAATAATGGAGAAACTATTCTTTCAGCAAAGAGACGAAAGAATATGTATGTGGTCGCATGGGAATCGGCTAAGCCGAATGTTTGCTTACTAGCTAAAGGAAATATGATTTGAGTTGGGAATGGCATAACAAACTTAACCATCTCAACTTCAAGACTATTAGCAAGGTAGCTAGAGGAGAATTGGTATAGGGAATACCAAATATGATGTACAACAAAGACAAGATTTGTGAAGCCTATCAAAAGGGGAAACAAATCAAGTCCTCGTTTAAGTCCAAATCCATTGATACAAACTCTGGACCTTTGAGTCTCTTACATATGGATTTGTTTAGTCCAATTGACCCAGTCAGTTAAGTGGTCAAAAGGGATAGTTATGTTGTGCATCCGTATGCACCATGCATGGTGCATACGGATGCAAAAACGACGTCGTTTTATTAAAAACGCGTGTCTCCTCTTTAAAAAAAAATTCTGGTTCGATTCCCAGCAACAGCATTATGTTGTTCATTCGTTCTGGAATTTTAGTTCATAGATTATGGAATTTTAGTTCATTGATTCTGGAATTATAGTTCATCGATTCTGGAATTGTAGTTCATTGATTCTGAAATTTTAGTTCATAGATTCTGGAATTTTAGTTCATTCATTCTGGAATTTTTAGTTCATAGATTAGATTCTGGAATTATAGTTCATAGATTATGGAATTATAGTTCATCGATTATGGAATTATAGTTCATCGATTCTAGAATTTTAATTCATATGTTGTTGCTGGGAATCGAACCTAAATTTTTTTTTTAAGAAGAGACGCGCGTTTTTAATAAAACGACGTCGTTTTTGCATCGTATGCACCATGCATTATGCATACGGATGCACAGCATAATTTGCCGGTCAAAAGTATACACGTGTAGTAGTAGATGACTACACTCGTTATACTTGGACTATGTTCTTAAGGAAAAAGAACGAGACCAATAAGATGCTACCCGAGTTGTTGAGATAGTTGCAAACTGATAAGGGATTTAGCATCATCAGGATAAGGTCAGACCAAGGCACCGAGTTCGTCAACAAGGTAATTCAAGACTTCTGTGGTTAATTCGGTATCCTCCATCAACTCTTAGTAGCAAGGACTCCACAACAAAATAGAGTAGTCGAAAGGTGGAATCTGACACTTAAGGAAGCTGCAATGACGATGATTGCCTTTTCCGGCTTGCCTAAACGATTTTGGGCCGAAGCTGTTAACACAGCATGCTACACCCAGAACGGTAGAACCATTCCTTAATCAACAAAGCTCATGGCTCAACACCCTACGAGTTGTGGAAAGGCAAAAAACCAATTGTGAGCCACTTTCATACTTTTGGTAGCAAATGTTTCATTCACAAATAGGAGTTCTCTAAAAATATAGTACATAAAGTTGAAGAATGGAGAGGAGTTAGGCAATTGGAGAAATAATTTTAGTAAACAAGTTTTTCATTTTCCATTTTTTCCACCTCTCTAATTCTCTGTTTTTCCAAAAAAATCGTCCTTTTTTTCATTTTGGTAAATGACCCCATAATCTTTGCTTAACTCCACCATTCTATTCTTCAACCACCAACGTTGATGTCTCCACCCGAAATCTCAAAACCTAGAATAAAGTGGAACTCAACATCGCCATCTGCATACATAATGATTAGATTTGTAAATCGTACACTCCTCCATTTGATATACTGTTTCAATATTTCTAATGTTAAAGTTTTGTAATTCCACCACTCCGATTACTCCAATATGCAAAATGTTTTCTTTTCCACAATGCCACCTTCAATTCAACCTTAGGTCTCCCCTCTACTATCTGCATCACCTATAAAAGTCCAATTCCAAATACCATAGCTATAGAAAACAAAAAACAAAAAACAAATAAAAAGTGCTACAATAAACCCTTAATTAAAAACTCCTCAAAATCTTGATGTATCCTAAAAGGAGCAAGATCCCTTCTCCAATTTGGATTCCCCACTAGCTAGAACCAACAAGAGAAGGGGACCTATTGAAAACCCCATTAGATAGCCTATCAAGGACTATTATTCCAAAAATTGGAGAAAAACAAAGAGAGATAGAACAGAGAAAGCTACTCTCTCTTCTCTTTCTCAAACTCATTGTTTCAATTGCCAAAAGGTTTAATTTTTAAGGTGTTGCTTAACCTCTAATCACTTTGCCAAAAATTTGATTATACAAAGTTGATGATCTTTTGTTCCCAATGTTCATTACATACACCACCTTCTTACTATAAAATAATACACATTCAAATATCAATCTGCCTGTTAAATTTACAGAAGTGGCCATGATTCATATATATCAATCTGCAGACTAACTAAGCAAATATGAACTCAAAATCAAAGCTTTGGAGATTTCTGGGAAGTACTCTCTCTCTTTTGCCAAACCTGCCTTGGAGGTCTGATGTTCTTTGGGTCTTGTCTAAGACACCATCCAAACTGACCCTCGAGTTTCGAGGGCTCCAAAGATAGGTTTTCGCGGATGAATTTATCCAAGTTGAAGCCACTGGCAGTATCTAACCTACTGCCATTGGTATCTGGTTCTTCACTGCTGGAATTATCATCAGTTCCCGTTACACTTTTGGAGGAATCCGAGGCCTTGACGAAAGAATTCTGATCCAAGTTGAAGATTCTTTTCAATCTGTCAATAGTCGGATCAATGATGTCTAGGAATCCCATAACCCAGGACTCGTCATCAACCACATCGGTCCGCTGTGCCACATTGAAATCAGGTATCAGTTCGAATTTCAAGGCGTATTGTTCTTGCTTCTAATTCTAAAGATGGAATAAAGAATGCAAATTTGAGCAAGAGATAGTGTAATGTTCAAAATATGCCCCGATTAAATGTACATTTATCACCTTTGTCTGTGCATTATAGGGGTTTTAGAATCCCGCTGCCCAGCCTAGATGCATATGAGCGAATTATATCACGAGAGTTCATGGCATGTGACATAATGTTCATCGCATTTGTGCATAGTGTTCAGAGACTAACATATCCCACAAAGCTACCAATCGAGTATTATGAGTTGATGAACATTGAATTGATGTCAAGTGTGCCATGCAACGACCAAAATTCAAAGATCCACATTTTACTAAGCGTTATCTACCAATGAATGTCGAGTTCAATAATACGAAGAAAAAAGATCATGCAAGATTAGAAAAATTCCGGAAGGTCTAAACACCAAATTCAATGAATTAAGATGATCTGTTTCTGTAAGTCTGTAACTATGTCGTACCTGCTGAAAATAGAGGTTTCGAATTTCCTCTGCACGCACAGAATTTCCTTGCTCTTCCTCTAAAGCTGCCCAAGTCATCCATGTCACATAGCTTTGAGAATTAATGTTCAAAGAAGATCTGAATAGTCTTCGAGCCGCAGAAATGTTACCAACTCTCTGCTCCAAAACACCCCAGGCCTACAAAATTTGATAGTAGAGAAAATTGTCTTTCTCAGTAAATTCTCAATGTTAAGAGTCCCACGTTGAAAATATAAGAGAGAACATTTGAGTTTATAAGGCCATGAGTTAGACTAGCCATTGATTGGATTCAGTTTTTTAATGTGGTTTGGCCCATATGCATTATAGTGTTTTTTTTTTTTTGACAAAGCATTATAGCCTAATTGAGTGACCTTGGCCCAATCTTAGATTACAGCATGGTATCAAAGTCTGGTTCAGTCCACTTTGTGTTCACCCAAATGTCTACCTGTTGGTGGCGTCCAAGCTTTCATTTCAGGGGAAGGTCCAATCCAAGCCCACTTGTTCAGTCCACTTTGGTGGAGTCCAGTTTCAAGTGGTCAACCAGGCCTTTATAAGGCTATGAGTTAGGCTAGCTAATTGATGGTCTTTATAAGGCCATATAAGTTAGACTAGCCAATTGATTGGATTCAGTGTTTTAGTGTGGGTTGACCCATGTGCATTATGGCCTAATTGAGTGACCTTGGCCAAATCTTAGATTATAACACCCAGGAATGAATCGTCTTTAATCTAGTTATTCAGGAATCCAATGCGGAAAAGTTAAAAGCATACTTCACTCATCTAGTCTAAATAATACATTCTTCAATGCAAGCACAATCAAAAAGGACCGCAATGTATTACCATTACCAGTAACTCCAAAAGAGTGCCATAAACAATTCTAAACAACGACAATTCACTTTACCTGAAGACAGCGAGCGGCATGATCATTTGATGAATTGATAGACAACACTTTCTGGTATAGTTCCCTTGCAGTGGAAATATTTCCTTCTTTCCACTCCATCCAGCCCCAAGCCTAAGTCATGCAAAATTTAGTTAGGGGGGATATTATAGAGACGTGCGTATTTTCGAGAGCCAGGTTGCTGGACTTGGCCCTATACCGGCCTCTGCCCAACAATTTCCCTAGCCACATGGTGCTGGAAACCCTTACCGGACTCCGCCCAACAGGTCAAAAGATATCTTTGGTTTTAATTCTGTTTTCAGAACCGTTCCTTGTGAATAAATATAGATTTGCTACAGAATCTGACTTCTTTTCTGTCAGTCAGCAGCTATGATTATGGATGAGATAACATCAACTACACAATGGGACATAACATAGCATCATCCAAAAGGATTAGAAATAAAAGCTTACACTCCACACTGGCTGGTGCCTTGGATCCAATTCACAAGCTCTTTGGAACAACAGTCTAGCACGATTTGCACTAGAGTATTTGTATTCTATCAAAGCAAGTGACTGAAGGAGAACTGGATCTCTAGGATTTAGAATGTAGCCTATCTGCAGAAGTTTCCGCCCTTGGTCAATATTTCCGAAACTGGCTTCAAAAACTCCCCAGACATGCCATGCAAACCTATTTTTTGGACTCGCTTGGACTGCTTTCTGCACATGAGAAAGATGTTTCAAGTACATGAAAGAAGTTCAATCGATAAATACCATAAGTGCAAGCAAAAATGAAAGTGACACTATTTTTTGGGTGTAATCCAGGGTTTCCACCGTCGAACACAGTGACTAAACCCCTCTCTGAACTGTAGGCACTTCTAAGGGTGGGGCAGCTGGCCTGGAGATTTAAGGATGCTCCTTACCCAAGACCAAGGATTGATCCCTTGATGTTTGGTTAAGGATGAATGAGTCATTTCCACTCAACCACACCCCCAGGTTATGAAGAACAAGTTGGATATTTACACACCTCAAAAAGCTTCCTAGCAGCATGGTTATTCTCTAATTCTGCCTCTAGCTGAGCCCAAGCCTAGAAAAAGAGAAAGCAGATCCATCATGTGCACTTCATCAAAATAGTAAGCGCAAAGCAAAATCGATGCAAATATGCATATTTCAAAGGAAACTTACAAGCCAGCTAGCACAACTCTTTGGGTTACATTTTGTTGCTTGTTTGAATAAATAGCGGGCTTGCTCATATCTCTTTGCCTTAGCTTCAAGCAATGCTAAGGTTTGGTAAATGTACTCGTTTCCACCACAATATTTGAGGCCTTTGCCAAGAAGATTCCTTGCCTTTTGTATATTTCCCTGTTTCAGCTCTAATATTGCCCATCCATGCCAGGCTGCAATATGCCTCTTATCAGCAACTGTGGCAGCATCAAATAATTCTCTAGCTCTCCTTATATTACCCATTCTATTTTCCAGAACAGCCCAGCACTAGTCCAAAGGAGCAAACTTTGGTGAGCTTCAAATACAAAATATAAATGTTACGAAAACATACTATACCATATTTTTGGTGAATAATATGGCAGCTTCTGTAGTCTCAGGCACTACAATTCACGGTGCCAATGGCTAGTCAACCCCACTGCAGATTTGTAAGTCCCATATTTCGAATCTATGGACTCGTGTAGGGTGGGACTTACTATGGGACTTACAATAAAATGAATGGGTGAGATATATGCATTAAAGCAAGATATGGTATTTGGATGACGAGGGAAGCCCCACAACCCTTTCGAGTGTGAGTAAACCCCGCCTTGTGACCCTAGCTGGCAAAGGACCACAAGGAAGTAAACCAGCCTAGGTTACCCATAGCTGACCGGCTCAAACCAAGGGGGCAAGGATTCAAACTCGTGACCTTGTGGTTACAAGTGTGGATCTCTTGCCATCTTGGCTGGGGTTACCCCCATTCATTGTGGATTTTGAAGACAAAAGACATGCAACAAAAATATCTTATTGCTTATACACTCATATGTCATTTTATTGAGCAAGTCATATGACATCATTCATCTTACCAATTTACATTGCCATTAAATGGAAAAGTAGTGTTAAAGACTTAAGCTTGCATCATGATGGATCCCAGATATAGCCAGAAAAAGGTGAGAGATTGCAACTGTAAACATTCTTTTCACATCATTGTAGGGTTAAGGCATAAACAGCAACTTTTAAATATACTTCATTTCATCCCAGGAAGGTCTATACTTAGTTTTCTGAATTATTCATATTTCATAGAAGCAAAGGCAAAAACCAGATGGATTCAACATAGTGTACAATAAACTAACCTGCCAAATGTAGGCGTTTTCTCCTAGTGTAGCTTGGCAACCTTTTTCATAAACTGATCTGGCTTCCATCACTTTTGATTGCTTACTTAATATCCTGCCCAAGGCCACATATGGCCTTCCATCTTCCGGCCAGTAATATATACACTTCATGCACAAAGATTTGAACATCAGGAAGGACTTACAAGATGAAATACTATCTTTTAAAAATGCATACAACTAAGAGTACTGGTAATTACTTTTAAAAGTATCTTTTCTGCTTCTGCATACTGGAAATTCCGTGCCAATAGTTTTGCTTTGTACAAGGACAAATCCAAATTCACTTTCAGTATCTTCTCTCCAGAAGTTGATTCCACCCTGTCAGGCTCAAAAATTGGCATCTTCCTAGCAAATCTTGAGAGCCCAGCATCGATGGAAAATAACGAAGAAGATGACTGCTCCTCAAGGACAATAACACTTTGTTCATTTGAAATCTCGGTATCATTTGCTTGTTCTTGTTCTTGTTCTTGTTCTTCTTCTCCTTCTACGGGAGTCTCCATTACTGGCCTACGAACTACAGGTAACTTTTCCAGGGACTTTTTTGCAATTTTTATCTCTTCAACAATGTCATCATTGTACAATTCATTTTGGCTCCTGGCCTTTGATGAAGATGTTGAGGCTTCGGGTTTTTCTAGGACAAGTGAAGGTGGGAAGGATGATTCATGGGAACATAAGGGAGGAAGGAGAGAATGTGAAGAAGTATAGAAGAATCTAAAGGGAAAAGGAAGGTGAAATTTCATGGCATTTTGATTCTGCGAATGATAAAAGAGATGAAATTTGGAGCTCGAGAACGATGAAAAGCAACAGTGATTCATTTCTTCTCCCTATACAATTTCTATAATTAGATCAAACTCTATCTTTATAAGGCAGCTCCGTAGAAAAGCGAGTTTTTTCTAAGGGAAGAACGATGAGTTATTTCAAATTGTCACCAACCTCATTTCACGTAAGAAGGACGAAATGGCATCTATTTCTTTCCCCTTCAGTGAGACTTTAGTTGCAACCCTTTTAACTAAAGAGCATAAATAACTTATAGAATGCCAAGAGCGGAAAATTTATCTACCATTTGAGAAGATTCTACTATGCATAGTCTTCAGTAACAAGAACAACATGAAGAGGACTTCTCCAAAGCAAGATTATCCAATCTGTACAAATAAATTAACTTGTTAAATCAAGAAAAGCCAGTTTATCTTAAGCTACCTAGGGATACATTTGGCGTGAGTAATGGCTAAAGGCTACTAGCTCCTTTATCTATGAATTCACAGGCGGTTACTCTAGTTTGTGTCTTTCGTCTCTAACACTTCCTCGTCTCATCTTTATTTGCCAATTTCACTTTCCTAGGGCCTAACAAGCAATACACTCTAGGTAGTTTTTAATATATAAAACATTTGTATTGAATCAAGTCTATCACTATTGAAATTACGCCAAAACAGTTGTCAAATTGACTATACAACATTGTTGTGTCCAATAAAAGGAGGCAAAGTGGGGGTAACCCCAGCCAAGATGGCAAGAGATCCACACTTATAACCACAAGGTCACGAATTCGAATCCTTGCCCCCTTGCTTTGAGCCGGTCAGCTACGGGTAACCTAGGTTGGTTTACGTTCTCGTGATCCTTTATTGGCTAGGGTCACAAGACGGGATTTACCTACACCAAAAGGTTGTGGGATTTCCCTTGTCATCCAAAAAAGGAGGCAAAGTAAGCTTCAGACATGGATTCCACCATTCCCTTTTCTCTACTTTTATGGGGGGAGCAAGTATTCTTATTTAATTCTGATAACCTAAAATAGACTGATAGTTCATTGACAGAATAACTGGAAGTCATAATAAACCAATAAACCCAAACTGCTCCATAAAGGCACTCAGATATATTGAGATTGAGGTCAACCCAGACCTATCTGTTTCTTTAAACAAACTATAATAAATTAAATTCAAATTCAAGAACATTTCAACTTCCATTTTCCCTTTGGCAAGCACTTAAAGCTGAGCTATCAAATTTCTCCCAAATAAATAAATTAATAAATAAATAAAGAACATTTAATTTTCATATTCAGAGTGACAATCAAAAGTGTGAAACAGAAAATTGAAACCCATACATATTCAACAAAACTATCAAGATTATCAAAAAAACGGATGAATCACCAGTCCCAGAAAAGCTAAAATGAAGTGAGAAGATTCGACACTCACTGTGATTTAGCAGTCTCCGAGAAAAAAAGTTCCCGACAAACTGAAACTGCCCATCATACGAATCCTTAACTTCTGCTTTAGAAATCAAAGCGTCTCCCAAAAAAATCAAATTTTCGCTCAGGTAAACGTGTGCTTTCGCTCTTCTACCACAAATCAATGGCTGTGGTTCGTACGTGCATGCAATTTCTTTTTTTTTTTTTTTTTTTTTGTGACTCTGCTCATCTGCTGTTTTTTTGTTTTTCTTTTTATTTTTCAATTCTTATTTCGGAGTATCTATTACTCACTCCGTCATATTTTGTGTCTAATTCGATTAATGAAATTTGACTGAAATTACTTTTAATTCAAGTTTTTATAATATTAAATTTAATATTAGTATATAAAAGTTATATATTTAAAAGCTACACTAAAAGTATTATTAAACACAACAATCAAATTTAAAAACAAGTAAAGAATACTAAAGAAAATAAACAAATAAAAAAAAAGTTAATTTGATCATGAATAGTAAGTAAGACAGATAAAATGGGACAGAGAGAGTATTTATTTTCCATTTTCTAAATATATGAAATAAACATTTAAAAAAAAAAAAATCTTACACCAATAGCACTACAAGTACTTTCATAATAACATTTTGAGTTAATTCTATTTTTTTTCTAAATTTATAAGTGATTGATTACTATTAATCCTTTTTTTTATCATAACATCACTTTTAATTATAGTATTATTATAACATGATTATTTTTTATCTTTTATTACAAAATTATTAAAATGTTGTTAAATACAATGACATTTTCAAATAGGAGGTCATGAATTTGAGCATCAATGATAACGGTATTGACACTTTGTGCGTTAATAGGTTGAGAAAGTAATTGTAATAGAATAGTACTAAAAAAATTTATAATGTCAATTCACACGTTTAAAAATAATATTACTTGAAATAAATTATCAAAAATTTTACTGATGTTAATGGTACACATTGTTATTAGCTTGATTAAAATTGATTAGTGATAGCACGTCAAAATAATATATTGTAAAAAAATTATTGTCTATTTAATAAAGTTTTTGAAAGTCCCCCTTCCTTATAATAAAAAAAAAAAAAAAAAAAAAGTTTTTGAAAGGACTTATAGATTAAATATAAGAGAGAGAAAAGTAATTTTATTTTTGTTGCTTTCTGTATAATTATAATTTTTTGTTTTTCTGAAGGACTACTTTGCATGACATCCACAAAACTTGACAACGTGTCATTGAGGCCACTTAGCCCATTCTGGAAATCTCATCTTTCTTTGTCCATATCTATCGCCTTGGATAAGAATATCTATTCCCCTTAGCACAATACTACCTCTCAAACTACAGTAAAATATTTTTTACTCCGTATAAGAAAATTCTTTAGAATTTATTTTATACATTAAATTTCCAGCTTACGCTAAACTAATCATAGAGCTGTGGATAAAGTAAATTACAAATTGTCATGTATGTATACTAGTTCTGTGCACAATGAATCTTCTTCATTTATCAAAATAAGAGGGAATAAGGGTCAAATAGGCCACTCAACTGCACACCAAAGTGCAATTAGACCATCGAAGTCAAAAAAATGCAATTGAGTCCTTAAACAACACAAATTAATGCAATTAGGTCTAAAATGACCTGTTGACCTGTTGTGGAGGTTTTGGATTTTAAAATAATTTTAAATAAAATAATTAATTAAAAAAAAAAAAAAAAAAAACAGCACGGCCGGAGACGAACCGTCTCCGGCCGTTTTTTTTTTAAATTAATTATTTTATTTAAAATTATTTTAAAAATTATTTTTTAAATTCACAACCGCCACGTCAGCAAAGTTTAAGTTAAACAGGTCATTTTGGACCTAATTGCATTAATTTGCGTTGTTTAGGGATCCAATTGCATTTTTTTTTAGTTCGATGGCCTAATTGCACTTTGGTGTGCAGTTGAGTGGCCTATTTGACCCTTATTCCAAATAAGAGTTAGGGGGTGTTTGGTAAGTAACTGTTAGCTCCGTTAACTATTTGGGTTGGTGAGTTTGACTAGTTGATAATATTAACTTATTGTAGAAAGATGTTTGGTAAATTAGTTATCAGATGATAGCTAATTATATACAAAATAACTTTATCAAAAACTTATTGAAAAAACTACTTTGAGCAGCTTTTTGAATTTTAGTGTTTTGAAGTAATAAACTGTTACAAAAAGCTAATTAATCAAACACTCGTATTGATTGTTTAACCATGTCAGATAGTTAATAGTGGTCAAATAAGTCAAAATTGACCGATTGCAGGGACGGAGGCAGTATGGGGGCAGTGGGGGCAGCTGCCCCCACTCCCCCCACACCACCCCTTTATATATATGTATGTATATATCGACATATATAACATTAAATGTTATATAAAATCTATATTTGTGTTATAATTACTAATAGTTAGAATAGCTTAGTTGGTCGAACTTCAAATTTAATATTAAAAAATATATTATCATAGGTCCAAATCGCATAAAAGACACTTTATCTTTACTTATTTATTTTATCTCTTTCATTAATTCCCAAGATAAATATTTTTTTGCCTACTTAAATATTTTTTAGCCTACTTGTATGAATCATATTTTGTCATAAATATTTTTACATTTTCACCCCACTCAAGTATATTTTTGGCTCCGACTCTAATTATCATTTAATCTATCAAAAACATTCTATTGTAATTTATAAAATATTTTGTATTTTAATCTTATTATGACTACTTGATATTTTTGTAATTGATATTTCTAATGTCATTTAAATTTCGCCCCACTCCAATATTTTTATAGCTTCGTCCCTGACCGATAGACTAACTATTTCACCAAATAGGGCCTTAATTCGTGTATTCTACCTTTCAATTATTACTCTTTTTTTAAAAAAAATTATATTGTTTTAATTTTAATTAATTTTGATACCTTATTTTCAAAAATAAAAAATAAAAATTGACATTAATTTTTGGGATAATATGAAAATTTCACAAATTTAACATTCTAATGATGTTGAACAACTATTAATTTTTTTTTTTTAAAAAAAAAAAACATAATTAGCGACATAATATAGCAAAAAATCAGTTTTGGCATACAAATATCCGACATCAACAAGTTCTTTTGTTTTGTATGTGTATGCTACTTTTATTCTATCCTTTCGTACCCAAATTTGTTCGATTTTAGGGTTCCTGTTGTAATATTATTTGTGATTATTCATTTCATAATAGTGAGCTTGAATGTTACCAAGCTAGGTGCAATAACACCACTTGATATTTCATCGTGTAAAGCCATGAATATGTTGTTGCTTGTGCTATTGTAACATTCTTCTTGTGCTAAATCCAATACCAATTTTGTCTCCTTGATGTTTAGTAGCGTCCAGAATTTGTTCAAGAGTTTCAGTAACTGATCGAATTCATCATTTTTACATCTCTCTTCAATTGTTCTATTTCTTTTAACAATTATAGCTCTTTTTCTTAGAGTTTCATAAGTTCCAACTGCATCTCCTTTTACTAAGTTTGTTCTCGTTCCTATTCACTTTAGAGGGCTCAATTGGTTTGAATTAGATCCATATCCACCCTTATGAGTTCTTCCCACTTGGCTTGAAGTTTTGTGTAGACTTCGAAGAACTTCTACATGTTTCATTCGGGATTGAGTTGATCATCTATTTCACTGTTATTGATTAATCAAGTGAAAATTAGAAAATTGTTGCTCATTATGTCATCATCACTTTTTTGTGTCATTACTAGTGGAGATATATGTTTTATTCTTCCTTCTCAAGTAGGTAGGGCACTTAGGTTGTATATGTCTGTGACCTTTAATTTGCTAGTGGAGATATATGTTTTATTCTTCCTTCTCAAGTAGGTAGGGCACTTAGGTTGTATATGTCTGTGACCTTTAATTTGTGTTTGAAACATTGCACTCCTTTTAGATTGGAGATTTTTTTCGTCTGTTGGAGTTTGTATCTTGTGGATGTCTTTGAATGTTAGAGTTGGGGTTTCTGTGGGAGTTGGAAGTGTTGTTTCTATTTTTGAACCGATTGAATTTTATAACAACATGGCTAAAATTTTTGGTTAGCATGACTATGGATTCCTCCATGTTCTCAATTCATCATTCAGTGTATGAGTTCGGTTCTTCCTTGGTTTTAAACGCTACATACTCCTTTTGTAGTAGTCTTTTTGTTTTGAAACATGTCTAGTTCATAGGTCTGAAAATTACGTATGAGGTCGTTTAATTTGTAGGTATTTAATTAAATTTTTACTTTCTTGTATTACAGTGACCTTCATCATAAATCTTTCGGTTAGGGACTAGAGTATCTTCTTCACTAGCTTTGGCTCAGGGGTAGGTTCACCAAGGTTGTAGGCAGCTCCTACAATATACAATATCCTTGCATTGAATTAATTACGTGATGTTTTCTTCTTATTCCATTCATAAGTTTTTGAATTACGTTTGAACCATTTGGAGCTTAGATTGTTAAACTAGAGTGTTTCCTTCGTGATGATCAAAGAGAATTTTTCATGTGGCTTTTGCTAGATGAGTTTTTCTTCTCCTATCCAAAGTTTCTATTGAAGGAAACCCATGATTTATGCCCGCTGAGTGATCCTGCTAATAACTTCCCATGATGTATGCCCCGTTGAGTGATCCTGCTAGTAAAACGCCAAATTCTTTTAGCAGTACAAGGATCTCCTCCTTGTACTCTCTCTAGCAATGAAATGGACTATCCTAAAACTTGGATATCTGGAATGACAGAACTTTCAAAGACTAGCTACCGTGATTTTTGCTTTGTCCTCCTTTTATAAATATTATGTGTTGTTCCTTTTTCTACTTAGATTTGTAATAGTCTTAGTCTTTATTCTTTGATTGTAAGTTTTATTTTGATTTTGTTTTTTTTTTTTTCAAACAATTTAAGCAATTTAAGTCAACAATTTTCCTATGGTCGAAATAAGTGACACAGTTCGGTTTCGATTCCGAACTGACAGTTCACGATTCCATAAATTAGCAAACTAGAACTGACAATTCTGATTCGAATCGTTTTTTTATTATTTTGTTTTCTATTTTAAAAATAGCTCAAAATTTACTTTTTAATTCTGAATTTTTTAAAAATAATTATGTTAAATGTTTAAATTTTAAAATTAGACTAAAAAATAAAAATAATTTTAGACTTGCACAAGATTAAAATGCTTACGTATCTTA